GATGATGATGATGATGATGATGATGATGATGATGCTGATGATGATGGGAGGAGGGGGTGAGCTGAGACATGCGGAGAGCAAAGGCAAGGATGGGGGAAGAGGGAGGAGGAGGAGAGAAGGAGGAAGGAGGAAGGAGGTGGGACGCGGGGCGCTCTCTTCAAAACGAGGACCCAACACCACAGGATGGTTGGGAAAAACTGTCTGGAACGAACAAGCAGTCTCCGGGGAAGTTGTCGAGAGATCCAGGGGCTCCGCATTGCAAAAACAATCGACAACAGCAAAAACGAAAGGCAGAAGACAAGACAAGAGAATAATGCCCTGACTGGAGAGCGCGCAGCACAAAGTCTTGTACGAAAACTAGCGTTGCTGGCTCGACCTCGAGAGGCAGCCTCACGAGTACAGTCAAAATCAGCAATACTGATACGCGGTAGGGTTGTAGGACCGTAAGACGCACAAGCTGAGTCCGTTCGAGCAACGTACGACCGAAAAGCCGCACGGAAACTGCTCATCCTTTCGAACTATGGATTCTGAGTGCACGAGGTATCCCGACGGATGCTGCCAGTCTAGATGAAGAACGATTGCACAAACATGGACGTTCGGAAACTGATGTCGATGCCGCTGTTCCCTAAAAAAATGCTTACACTCAGGGTTTCTCACTTCTCGTCTACAGAAGAGGGCTTCTGCGTCCGTCTGGCGGCTCCGTGCAGGCCGTCGCCGCCCCGTCGCCGCCCCGTCGCCGCCCGTCGCTGCTGCTTCGCCGTCGCCGTCGCGGTGCGCTGCTTTGCGTTGCATTGTTTTGCGTTGCTTTTCGTTGTTCTGCATTGCTTCGCATCGCAAAACAATGCATTGCATTGCCTGGTCCTGCTTTGTATTGCTGTGCGTTGCATTGTTTTGCGCTGCGTTGCTTTGCATTGTTTTGCCTTGCTTCCCTTTGCTATGCCGTGCTTAGCAATGCCTTGCGTCGCAATTGCAGATAGGAGTGTAAGATCATAGTTCCTTCAGGCAGACTCACCATATTTCAACTGCCCTCGATGAGCACGTTAGTTCTTACCACATAGATTTCACCACGAAGTTTATACCACAAAGCTCACAACACATGGATGAATACGTCAGCTCTTACCAAGTAAATTCTCCTTAATTAGAACATAGGATCCACCATCCTCCCGAAGCCGGACTTAACGGTACACCTTTTTCGTTTTGCAATGTACACACGATTGTGCCCCATCTTCCATCCTAAATTTGACCTCGCACCATCCCAAGGGCCGGTATCGACACCCCCCGCCATCCTCTGCAAGAACACTATGCTCGCACACTCGTGTATCCGAAGTCACCCATTTCAAAAACCCCTTACACAAAAATTTGACAAATTGCACACGCGCGCGTCGTCGCGCGCGCATGCCAAAACACTTGAGAAACCTCCGGTTTCGTTAGGAATTCAAAATCGAGTGTCCCGAAAAGCCTACAAACCGATTGGTTTCGCAACACGGATGTTCAAAAAACTGGCGGGCGACATTGCGATTTTTTTGATTTTTGAAAAAAGGAGAAAGAAAAAAAAAGGTTGTTCAACATGTTCATAAAATGATACCTAGCAGGCCTCTCGCGCCGCATGCCGAAATCATTGGAACGCCCTTGCGCGCGTGCTGGCGCAAGAACCTTTTTTACAAAGAAGGGGACGAACTGCACACACGCGCGTCGTCGAGCGCGCGCATTCCGAAATCTGTCAAAAACTCTTGGTCCCGTAAGGAGTTCAAAACCGAGTGTCCCGAAACCATACAAAAGAACACATGGCTTCGCAACGCCAGCTGTCAAAAACAAAAAACAAAAAAAAAAAAAAACAAAAAACTTCGCTCGCGCTCTTGCGAATTCTTATGAAAAGCATCGGTTCAACCTTGTAGTTGAATTTGCCACACGGGCCTCTCGCGCCGCATGCCAAAATCATTCGAACGCCCTTGCGCGCGCTTGGGGGGCACGATCCGTGTCAAAAGATACCATGCGGCCACTCTCGTGCGTCGGCCGCGCGCGCATGTCGACCCCCTCCCAAAACCTTCACCACCGACGCGAGGACGCCGTCATCGTCGTCGGCGTGATCAGCATCGGCGCCGTCACTGGCCGTACCGCCGTCGCTGTCAGCATCGCCACCAGTATCGCTACTATCATCATCGTGTCTACCGTTGTCGACGTTGCCATGATACCGCGCCCGCCCAGTTCGCCGACTCGCACTCAAGCGCCCGCTGGGATGTGCCCAGCGGTCAGCGCCACCGCGGCCGCGCCGGTCGCGCCAAACTAGCTGGCCGCTGCGCGCGCGTGCATGCGCGGGCTGGCGCGGCTGCAGAGATGCACCAGACAGCGCCAAGCACTCATCGCAGTCGCCGCCGCATGGGGGTTGCAAACCAAGTTGCGGGTGGGTGCGTGGGACGTTTGCCACACAGATTGTACCGCATTGATTCTCCTTTCTAAAAACAGAATAGGATCTACCCCCCCCCCCGGGCGTTATCACTCCCCCTTTCGGATATGTAAATCGTATATGATTATGACCACATGTCCATCCTAAATATGAAATCACAATGTCACATGCCAACCGGTATCCCCCCCTGAGGTTCCCCTGTAAAAAAACACTATGCGGTGACATGTTTTGTTCTAACATAGCACTTTTTACAAATCCCTTGCAAAAAACTCGACGAAGTGCACATGCGCGCGTCGTCGCGCGCATGCCGAAATCCTTCAAAAACTCTCGGTGTCGGAAGGATTTCGCAATCGAGTTTCCAAAAAAAGAAAAAAAAATCGCAACAATGATTTGCTAAAGAAGCTTCCGCGCGAGCTCTTGCGAAATCGAAAACCACAAGTTTTTTCAAGATTGCCATAAAATGCTACCAAACGGGCTTCGAGCGCGCGCATGTCGAAATCTGTCGAACGCCCTTGCGCGTGTGCCGTGGCGAGAATCCTCTGCGAAAAACGGGGCGAAGTGCAGACGCGCGCGTCGTCGCGCGCGTACGCCGAAAACCTTCAAAACCCATCGGTTTCGGAAAGATTACAAAATCGTGTGTCCAAGAAACCTACACAAACCCAAGCTTTCGCAACACGGATTTTCAACAAAAGCGTGCACGCACGCTCTTGCGTCGTCGTCGTCGCCGTCCTCCCTCCTCCCGCGTCGTCGTCGTCGTCGCCTACGTCGTCCTCTGTCTTTCCTCGTGTTCGTCGTCGTCATCCTCTTTGGCGTCGTGGTCGTTTCCGTCGTCGTTGTCGCCGTGGTCGTCCTTCCTCCTCCTCCCTCGTCGTTGTCGTCGTCTGTCGTCGGCGTCTCGTCGTCGTCCCTCCTATCGCGCCATCGTCGTCGTCGTCCTCGTCGTTGTCGTCGTCGTCGTCTTCCCTCCTCCCTCGTCGTTGTCGTCGTCGGCGTCGCCGTCCTTCCTCCTACTTCGTCGTTCGCGTCGTCGCCGTCCTCCCTCCTCCCTCGTCGTTGTCATCGTTGGCGTCGTTGTCGCCATCGTCGTCCTCCCTCCTCCCTCGTCGTCGTCTACGTTGGCGACGTCGTCGTCGTCTTCGTCGTCGTCGTCGGCGTCTCGTCGTCGTCGTCTTCGTCGTCGCCGACGTCGGCGTCGTCGCCGCCGTCGTCGTCGTCGTCGTCGTCGTCGTCGTTGTCGTCGGCGTCGTTGACGTCGTCGTCGTCGTCGGTGTTGTCGTTGTCGTCGTCGTCGTCGTCGGCGTCGTCATCGTCGTCGTGGGTTTTGCAAACCAAGTTGCGTGTGGGTGGGTGGGATGGTTGCAAGAGCGCGGGATGTGTCAACTCGTTTGTTAAAATCAATTGCTCCACATAGATACCACCACACAGATTTTGCTAGGAACACACCGATCGAGGCCAACGCTGACTCGCACTTCCACTCCGAACAAGAAAACTGCTCGCGGGGAGGGTGCGACGGCCGAGTCTGGGAGGACGACGGGGAGGAGGAGGGAGGGTCGAGGTCGTTGGATCGAGGGAGTGACAGGGCGAAGAGGGGAGGACGAAGGGGAGGAGGAGGAGGAGGAGGAGGAGGGAGGGTCGAGGTCGTTGGATCGAGGGAGTAACAGGGCGAAGAGGGGAGGACGAAGGGGAGGAGGAGGAGGAGGGAGGGTCGAGGTCGTTGGGTCGAGGGAGTGACAGGGCGAAGAGGGGAGGACGAAGGGGAGGAAGAGGAGGAGGGAGGGTCGAGGTCGTTGGATCGAGGGAGCGACAGGGCGAAGAGGGGAGGACGAAGGGGAGGAGGAGGAGGAGGGAGGGTCGAGGTCGTTGGATCGAGGGAGCGACAGGGCGAAGAGGGGAGGGAGAGGAGGCAGGAGGAGTGCAGGATCAGTCGGCATCGAATCGGAAGGTCGGACCGGATCGGAACGTGCGTCGGATCGGCCTGCATCGGCACGGAGTCGAAGCCGAGTCGAATCGGCCGCGCCAGGATGCACAACATCGCCATGCGAGCATCGAGCCGCATCAGCTCGCCAGAATATCGAAATCGGATCGGATCGAGCCAGCCGCAATCGATATCGAACCCGATGGATCGGATCGAAGGGGACCCCAGAGTGGAGCGGGAGCAGAAGACCTCCCTTTGTGACACTTGCGATGCGGTGAGGATGAGGCGGGTGTGCCGTGAGTGATGGACGCTGCTCGGGCCACTCGTGGATTAGGTCAGACATGGCAGCAGCCCATCCTCATGCCTACGACGCATAGCTCGACGACAAGCTCGAAGGATGAGGACGAATAGGAGAATACAAAAGGAGAGAGAGAGAGAGAGCATTGATAAGTAAGGTAGCAAGCGAGAAAAGAAAGGGAGAGAGAGAGAGAGAAAACAAAAAAAAAAGAGAGAGAGAGAGAAAGAAAGAAAGAAAGAAAGAGACAGAAGCAAGAGGATGATGAGAAGTCCTCCTCCTCCTCCTCCTCCTCCTCCTCCTCCTCCTCCTTCTCCTCCCCTGCCTCTTTCTCTCCTCCCCCCTCGGTGTGGGAGGCCCCGCGGGCCACCCGCACATCGAGATGTTCAGGTGGTGCTTCGCCTCGTCGAAGCGGGTGCAGTTCGCCCAGCCGGCCTCGAGGCGACGACGACGTCGACAGCAACGACGACCACGGCGACCACGAGGACCCCGACCACGACGACCACGACCACCACGACCACGACCACGACCACGACGACCACGACGACAACCGCGACGACAACCAAGACGACGACCACGACGGCGACAAAGACGACGACGACGACGACGACGACGACGACGACGACGACGACGACGACGACGACGACGACGACGAGGACGACAGGCGGCGGCGGCGGGCGGCAACGAGGACCGCGTGGGCGCGCGCAGGCGGCGCCCGAGCACCATCGGAGGAGGCGCAGTTGGGCTGCGAGCGAACGAAAGAACCTTCTGGTTGCGCGTCTGAATGTTTGTTGGGGGGGCGTCGAGCGAGGGGGGGGAGTGAGAAGAAGAAAGCCTCCTCAGAAGGCGGCGAGACTTCTCAAAGCCCCCTCACCTTCTGAGAAGTTGTTTCTGTCTTCGGAGCATGCCTCGAAAAGTTCTAAGGAGGCTGGGGAACTTCCGAGCATTCTGAGAAGGCCTTCCCCTTCTCGCTTCGCCCCCTCGCTCGCCGCCGATGTTTAGAAACAACAAAACACAAAACCCCATCAAAGCATAAACTTTCGGAGCGTCACGCGGATCTTCTGGGTCGGAGCTGGACCCCCTGGCAGCGCCTCCAGCGCGCCAGGGAGGGGCGTCCAGCGCCGATCCGAGAGATCCGCGCGGACCTCCGAAAGTTTATGTTGATGCCGTCGTTTCTCATACAGTGGAGGCTGGTTCACAAGAAACATTCCACAAGAAACCCAACCCTGATACCCCAGGACGTACATTCATTTTTGGCGTGGGAACGCCATGCTTGCCATCGCAAGACCATCGAACCCCAAGAAACACAATGCACCCTGGAGACAAGCAGGGTGTTTCTTGGCATGGGCCTCCACTGCACATACACACGCAAAGCGCCAGTATCAGCCCCTGCAGCCGAAGACTTCGGGACGAGCCCGCCCATAGGACCTCACAGGTTTCAGATCCCCTGTCGCCGCGAGGAGGAGGAGGAGGAGGAGGAGGAGGAAGAGGGGGAGGAGGAGCAGAGGGGGAGGAGGAGGAGGAGGAGGAGGAGGAGGAGGAGGAGGAGGAGGAGGAGGAGGAGGAGGAGGAGGAGGAGGAGGAGGGAGGAGGAGGAGGAGGGAGGGTCCCTCCCCGCACAGCGTGAAGGAAACGGGTCCTCGAGGATAGGGGCTCTGGGGCCTCTCGGAAGGCAGTGGGCGTCTCGAAGGGCAACCTCCAGGAAACTGCAAAGGGGGACCCAAGGACACTTTTTTTTGGATTCGCGGGTCGAGAGCGCAACCCTTCCGGTCGAAGCTAAGCGGGCCGCGCGAAGCTTGAATCAACCAGGGATGGGGGATGAAAGGGGGGGCGCAGCCTCAGAACGAGGCCGGGAGGAGGCAAAGCCTCGGGATCAGGCGGTGCCGAAGTCGACGTCCTTGCAAAGGCGCGCCTTTTCCATGAACCCGGTGCAGAAGCAACAGGACCCAAGGACACACGAGTCGACGAGTAGACGAGTAGTAGAGGCATCCCCGACATGTTTCCACACTTTCTGGAGGTCCGTGCTCCCCGCCACTTCCCGTATTTTCCAGATGTCCCTGGGCACAGGTTTCTGTTTGTGCCTGCGTCTACTCTCCATCCCGCAAGAAGCGGGGGGTCTCTGATTCGAGCTGTCTTGGAGGCTTCTGGGGGGCCTGGGCAAAAGGCCGCCCCTTCGTGGCTCGTCTGGGAGGGTTGTGATCCCCTCCCTTTTGCTGCGAAAGTTGGAATATCTTCCCTCCTGGACCTGCCAAGCCTTCTTACAACACAACCCAAAAAAAGCCTCTGGGATCTTCTGAGAGGGCCCCTGCCTGCTAAGAGGCACCCCGCCTCCTCAGCGGGCCACCCCTCGCGCCATTCCCGTGGTGCGCGACGCCCCTTCCCGCTGCCACCCAGCCCTCGCAGTCTGGACATCGATGCCCGGCCCATGTGTACGTGTATATATATATAGGTAGAGAGAGATAGATCGATATATATATATATATATATATATCGAGAGAGAGAGAGAGAAATATATATATATATATATGCATAAAGAGAGAGAGAGAGAGAGAGAGGAACCAAAAAAGAGACACGGAGAGAGTTATAGAGAGAGGGAGAGGAACACAAAGCAAAGCAATGATATAGAGGAACAGAAAACAAATTATATATTTTTATGTATACATGTTATGGATATATATATATATACATACATACATACATACATACATACATACATACATACATACATACATACACGCGATCCCTTCGGTAATCACGTTCCGCGCGGAGCACCCGCGCAGAGCCGCCCCGCACGCGCGGGGCCGCGGCCGAGAGAGGGGGGGCCGCGAGTCTGTCGACGGGGACCCGCTCCCCGCCCCCGAAGCGAGGCCCTCGTCGGGCCGCCCCGCGGGCCTTCGGTCGGGCATGTCTAAAGGGGCCCAAGGACACACAAATAAATGCACACAAATGAAATAATTCCCCATATTTTCCAATATTTTCTGGGTTTTTGTCTTCCCCCCCACTTCCAATATTTTCCCATATTTTCTGGGAATCGACGAATAATTGTGTCTGTGTGTTTGTTTCCCTCCTGAATGTCCTCCTGCAGGCGGATTTGGGGAGGATCTTTTTACAACAGAACGAAGTGCTCATGAATGCTCAAAAATCAAAAAAAAAAAAAAAAAAAAAAAAAAAAAAAAAAAAAAAAAAAAAAAAAAAAAAAAAAAAAAAAAAAAAAAAAAAAAAAAAAAAAAAAAAACGATCGAGACATCGTCCCCAGACTATTGCTTCTGCTACTTGATAGACTTTCCAGCCGCCCAAGGACAGGCGCCCCCGACAGCGAAAAAGTTTATTTTATACCGTTCTTCGCTCGCTGATTCTCAGGTCCCGCCGCCTTCTGAGAAGGCGCCTTCTCCTTCTCGTTTCCCCCCCCTCGCTCGCCGCCGAAGAAAGTCTGTGAGGCGGGGGGGGCGAGAGCATATCCGCCCAGAATCGAACCCAGGACTCCTCCCGGGGTCGAAACTTAAGTCGAGCTTGTCCCCCTCCGAAACGAAGGCGGTCGAGACGCTTCGAGGACGGCGGCGGCGGCGGCAGCGATGGGCGGCAGCGGCGGCGGCGGCGGCGGCGGCTGCGGCGGCGGCGGCGACGACGACGACGACGACGACGACGACGACGACGACGACGACGACGACGACGACGACGACGACGACGACGACGACGACGACGCGACGACGGCGACGACGACGACGACGACGACGACGACGACGACGACGACGACGACGACGACGACGAGACGCCCGCCCACGGGCCGCCGGTGGGCCGCCGACAAGGCCGCCGGGAAGGCCGCCGGGCGCCTCGCGGTCTTCCGGCTGCCGCGGGAGCGCCGCGGCGGGGGCGCAGGGGCCACCAGGGGAGGCCGCGGCGGCGGCAGCGCTGCGGGCGCCGTCGTCGTCGTCGTTGTCGGCGACGGCGCTCGGGCGAGGTGGGAGGGCTCCTCCCGGTGCTTCCTCTGGCCCTGCCTCTTCGCATCCTGCCTGTCCTGCCTCCTGCGCCCCTCCCGACCACAACAGCCACGACCCCCTCTGCTTGGAGAGCCCACCGAGAACGTGCGCGCCCGGCCTCGTGTCACGGACGCTCGCGCAGGGCATGCCCACAGACCCACGGAAGTCCACGCACGCTTGCCTCTTGGTCCGCTCCTGACTCTGCCGGTGCCCCTCCTCTCGTCGTGAAGACCCAGGACGGGCAGTTTCTGGCAATCGCCTCGAGGCCGAAAAAAAACGACTCGGGATGAAAACCTGGCCCTGGGGAGAGGATCCGGACTTCCTGGGACAGCGTGCTGAAAAAACAAAGCGTCGCACGTATGGGGTCTAGGCAACAGTAGAGTGAGAGAAGTCGTCGTCGTCGTCGTCGTCGTCGTCGTCGTCGTCGTCGTCGTCGTCGTCGTCGTCGTCGTCGTCGTCGTCGTCGTCGTCGTCGTCGTCGTCGTCGTCGTCGTCGTCGTCGTCGTCGTCGTCGTCGTCGTCGTCGTCGTCGTCGTCGTCGTCGTCGTCGTCGTCGTCGTCGTCTGCGTTGTCGGCGACAGCGTCGTCGTCGTCGTCGTCGTCGCGGTCGTCGTCGTCGTCGATCGTCGTCATCGTTGATCGTCGATCGTCGTTGTTGTCGTCGTCGTCGGTCGTCGTCGTCGTCGATCGTCGTCGTCGGGGGGGGCGAAAGAGAAGTCGTCGTCGTCGTTGTCACGTCCGCTCTGGTGTAATGCAGGTTGGCGGCGGTGAAATGTATTAACAAAAACGTGAAGCGATGAAAAAAGAACAACATTCTCTGCCGCCGGGAACAACTGGTGAGGACGGTCAAAGGTTGAAATTACGATGCGGTCGGGCGTGTCCCCCTACAGGCTGATTTCGGACGAAACATGAAAGATTCTCAACAAGCACTCAAACAGAATCGAAAAAGTAATCAAAAAATCGTCCCCTGACGATTTTTCAACTATTTTTGAAGTTCCTCCTGTAAAACGACAGACCCGACTTAAAATTACGACGACGACGCCCGCGAGCAGGCCTGGGACCCAATCGATCTAGCATCGCTCAGGGCGCCGCTGCATGGACAAGCCCCCCAGGTCGTTTTCTCTTCGCCATCCTTCGCTGCGCATGCCTTGGAGTACGTGTAGCATCTCCTGATCAGGAGGGAAGA